CCCCCCCCCCCCCCCCCCCCGCCTTGGGCTCAGGTCTTGATCCCCTGTTAGTGAGTTGGAGCATTGAGAAGTGAGATGATTTATTTTCAGAAATAATCAAATAAAATCTGTGCCGTCTAGTTAACAATAGGCTTACAACCTATTGGAAATATCCCCGCCCTCTTAAATAAATCTCCTTACAGCTTGCTGCCCACTGATAGACCCCTGAAACATGCGGAACATGACCTTCCTCGAACTCATGGCTGCCTTAATGTTTTTATTACCTAGGTTTACTAAAAGTCAAGTAAGCTTATGTTATCTCAGCTGCAATTTGTTGGTAAAAAGACACTTAAAATGATGGTTAATTTTAACTGGAGACTAAAGTTTCTAAAAGTTAAAATTCTGCTAAATGCAGTTAATGCTGATCCTCATTGGGACTATGATAATCCCATTGCAGAATGGTATCGTTGCCACTTCCAAGAAATCAAAGGAGGTCGAAGGTTAAAATCTTTAAATCATGCTAAATTAGCCACTATTTTACAGACACAGGATGAAAGCCTGGTGGCCTTCCTGAAAAGGTTAAAGTTAAATATACAGCTATCTCCCCTGTTACCCCCCCCAAAGCTCAGATGATTCTAAAGGACAAATTTGTCACTCATTCGGCTTCCCAAGGTCCTGGCACCAGTGCCATTTATGTGGCTATTTAGGGCACTGGAAACAAGAATGTCCTCAGAGGGGCAATGGAAGTTGAAACCCCCATAAGCCATGCCCCTGGTGTGGAGTCAGTCACTGGAAAATCTGAATGCCCTCTGGGACCTGAAGGGCTCAAATAACCAGTGCCCCTGAAAAGAACTGATCTCGCCCGAGGTTCTTCATGGTTGGCTCCCCTGAACCAACTTTATTGGAAACCCAGAGCCTCAGGTAACTCTGGAAATAGAAGGAAAGCCAGTTGATTTCCTTCTTGACACTGGAGCCACCTTTTCTGTCCTTTCCATTCCTGGCCAACCATCCAAATGCAGAGTAACGATTAGAGGTGTCTCCAGAAAACTTAAGACTAACTTTTTCTCTCAGCTTCTGGGGTGTATACAGGGAGACTTTTTTTTTTTTTCACATTCTTTGTTTTTATGATGCCAGAAAGCCCCACTCCCTTGCTAGAAAAAGACATCATGACTGAATTAGGGACTATAGTGCTACTCCCTCCAGGACGGATAAACAGTATATTAATCTGGATATCAAAGATCAGTCTTTCCTTGGGGTAAAATTAAATACGCCTTATGGAGTTGTTCCTATGGAAACTTGATGGGCAAAGGAAGATTTTGAGGACTGAGAACCAAAAACCAGTTCAAAAGCTTAATTATTCTAAGCAACAATATCACAAGATCCAAATAAATATGGAAGAGGATGGAAAAGCTATAGTTGGAAAAAAAAAAAATTTGACCAGACGGTTCAGGGACTTTTTGGATGGCTACAGTACATCTTTACATCCCATGGTGTGACCTCCTTCCTAGGAGGCATTGCGTTTGGAATATTAATGCTTGTTGATCTAATATTCTTTTTGTATGTCATTTGTAGAAGCCGTTGCACATATGCCAGAAAAATAAGAAAATTTTGCTAACCTAAGACGTTCCAAATACACTCTCATTATTTTGGACCTCTGGATTGACCTCTGAACCTGCCCTGACTGCCATACCCTTTCAGCAGGAAGCAGTTAAGATCAGTCATCATCCCAATTCCTAATGGGAGTTAGGAGTCACGTGTTCAAAGTGGGGAATATGATAGGAAAAGATGGTATTCAGTAGGCAGAGAGGGAAAGGTTAGGACCTGAGGTCCCTGGGTGGAAACACACACACACACACACACACACACACACACACACACACACACACACACACATTTTGGAACAATGCTGGGAGTGCAGCCGCAGCAAACCCTCTGGGGGCAGGGGAGGAAGATTCCTCTTAAGAAACAAATGTCTGTGCCTTGTGCCCAAAATAACCTAAAAATGAAAACAGAATCTACTTAGAAGAGAAGAGGAGGGATTGTGAGAAATAAGTGACAGGATTTATTTTCAGAAATACCAAATATAAGCTGAGTTGTCTAGTTAACAATAGGTTTAGACCCTATTGGAAATATATACGAACCCCTCACCCCAGCACAATGGAGTCCCAAATCTCCTTTGGGAGACCTTTTACTTCCTGGTTCTTCCCCTCTCCTTCTGCCGGCTTATTTTTTGCAGGCTTTGCAATGAGCACGTGCCAAAGAACTGAGGTCTCTGCCTCACCTCAAGGAATGTACATTTGTTCCAATCAGATTACTTTTTGGCCTTACATGGGCATAGGTGACTTCCAGGTAAGGCTGTAATCTCTGTAGTACTTAGCCAATGAGGAATCAGGGGAACGACTTCATGCTAGGAGATAAATTGCCTGCTGCAACTGCCCCGAGTGTGCCTGTCCATCAGGCACCTGCTCTTGTAAGAATGTTGATTAAACCCTGGCCTCACTGTGCTCTGAGTCTCCGCGTCCCTTCTTTGAATGGGCCAGTAGGCTTATTTCTCACAAGGCCTGCATAGGGCTCTGCACTGATGGTGAGAGTTGGTTTGGGATTCTCTCACTCTTGAAATAAATAAGTGTGTGTGTGTGTGTGTATATATATATATATATAT